ATGATGATGATGATGATGATGATGATGATGCTGATGATATGATGATGGTGATGATGATGATGATGATGATGATGATGATGATGATGATGATGATGATGATGATGATGATGATGATGATGATGATGATGATGGTGATGATGATGATGATGATGAGGAGGATGATGAGGAGGAGGAGAATGAGGAGGAGGAGGAGGAATAGGAGGAGGAATAGTTGCAAGAGGAGGAGGACGTGGAGAAGGATGAGGATGAGGAGTGGGCGGATAAGAAGGATTATGAGGATGAGGATCAGGGGGAATAACAATACTTATAATAACCATAACCGTCATATTAGTAGGAAAACATACCATTACTAATATCATTATGGGTACCATAAATCAGGATAACAACACTGAGGCATATGCTAGTAGTAATCGTACTTATTTTAATAAGAATATTAATCATACTCATAATCACAAGACTATTCTTACCGACACTAAGAATATTATTTATAAGCATACTCACAATGCTAATATTACCAACACTAAGACGATTGATATTACTATTACCGACACGCATAGTTATATCAGTAACAATAAGGCTACTGATTATACTACGACGAAGATCACACACATTATTAATGATAAAAGCAATGATGCTACTTATACAGGTAATTTTCACAGTGCTACTAATAATACTCGTAAGACTAATACTACTACTACGATTACGACTACTATCAGTCACACTAGCAGAAATATTAGCACTACTAATAACACGAATATTTTTCACATACTGATAATGCGAATGCTAATGTTATTAATGCATGTTCTACGAAGCAATCATGAATAATAGTATCAATATTAATAGCTCTAATAATACTAATTAGGATTTACTATGGGTAACTATTACAAGCAATTCTAACACCAATACTTAGCAACGTTAGTTACACTACTACTAGTCTCATAGTGTGGAGAACAACAATCACAACACGATCAAACCTAGTACTTATACTGCGAATGATGACAATGGTAGTGATAATAATAATGGTAATCCTAGTACTAATACTATTACTGATACTAGTACTAACATCAAGACTACTACTACTACTACTACTACTACTAGTACTAATATGAATATCAATTTTGCTACTAATATTAATACTTCTGCTACTCATACTACTGATCGTGATGATGATGCTGATCCTGATAATATTAGTAATACTAGTAAGCTTAATATTGATAACGCTCATACGACTACAACGGATAATTACACTAATCATATTGAAACTTATGATACTGGTAGTACTACGAATAATAACATTAATGCCACTAGCAATGCTACTGTTAATACAAATCAGTACTAATACGATTAATACTAGTAATGCTAATAAGTATGCTAATCACTCTATTGTCCATCAACATAAGATCACTACTACTAATAATAGTCAGAATAACACGAAGCGGAGGAGGAGGAGAAGGAGGAGGAGGAGGAGGAGGAGGAGGACGAGGACGAGACCATCGAGGACGTGGAGCAGGAGGGGGAGAGGAGGCTCAGGGGGAGGAGGGCGACGAATAGCTAACCAGGAAGAGGGGGCCAGCGCATCGTGGTCGAGAGCAGGCCGATTGCCGTCGGGGCCCTGCCGCGCTGGGCGCCTGCAGCACGGCGCGGGCCCGCGGGCGCCAGCGCACCCGGCGCCTCGGCGGCGCTGGGCGGCCTCGTCCCCGCGCCTGACGGCGCCGCGCCCGGGCCGCGTCGACGACGACGACGACGACGACGACGACGACGACGACGTCAACGACGACGACGACGCTTCGGTGGCACCGTGCCGCTTCGTCCCTGCGCCTGGCGGCGCCGTGTCTGGACCGCTTCCTTTCATGGGCCGACTAGGATTTGATCCGTTGGGGGGAAGAGGTTACCCAGCATTTGTTCCCGCCAGCAGGAGGGGGGGGCGAGGTTCGAGGTTGTGGGTTCGAGAAGGTGTTTTGGCTTTCTCGGCCTCCGGGAGCTCTTTTGGAGCCCTGGGGTCGTCACTAACAGATCTGGGGTGAAAAACTGGACCGTGGGAGGGGTCCGAGGATTGATTCTGAGGGAATTTGGCCTGATCCCCTCTCCTAACCGATTTGTCCCAATCAGGCCAGACCTCGCGGGAATAACCGGGGTGTCCGCTCGCCCCACTCCCCTCCAGATAACCTGACCTTCGAGCATAATTATGGGAGTCTGCGGGAGGAGGAGGAGGAGGAGGCGGAGGAGGAGGAGGAGGAGGAGGCGGAGGAGGCGGAGGCAGAGGCGGAGGCGGAGGCGGAGGCGGAGGCGTCGGCGGAGGAGGAGAGGAAGTGGAGGAGGAGGATGAGGAGGAGGACGAGGAGGCGGCGGCGGCTCAGGAGGAGAAGGAGGAGGAGGAGGAGGAGAAGGAGGAGGAGGAGGACGAGGAGGGGGGAGGAGGGTTGGGGAATGCGGGGTGCGGGCGGGGGGCGGGAGGGGCGGAAGGAAACCGTGGGCGTGGGGTGGGGAGGGGGTGCGGGGGGGGGGGGCGGGGGGCGGGAGGCGGGTGGGGTCTGAGGGCAGGGGGCGGGAGGAGGCGGGGGGAGGAGGGAGGGGGGAGTCGTGGTGCGGTGGGAAGGGGGGAGGGGTGAGGGGGGAGGGGGAGGAGTGAGGAGGCAGGAGGGAAGAGTGAGGTGGGGGAAGGAAGGAGGGAGGAGGGAGGAGGGAAAAGGGAGGAGGGATGCCGGAGGAGGGCGGAGGGGGGGGAGGATGGATGATGAAGGGTTGGACTGGGGTCGGTGACCTCATGCGTGGCCGCGTTTTCGTTGGGGGCGCCGCAGGCCGGGGAGGGCCGTCGTGCGCGACCCCACGGCGATCGAACTTGACTCCGCTATTGCCTTTTGAGTGGGGAGAGGGTGGAGGTGGACCATTGGCCACGCCCTCCCCAGTTCCGTAACGACTTCAGGGTGTGGTGAGTCGGGCAAAGCCCAGGCCGTGGGAACGGGAATGGGCAAATCGGAGGAGAGCCAGGAGGGCCTTTGCGATTGGAGCTCTTGCATGACCTTGCGACTGAGGTCCTGCCAGTGCACGGGCGCAGGTACGTGACGCAGCGTCGGAAGCAAGGGAGGGAAAGCCATTCCCAAGGGGATGGGAGGGGCCTTTGCACCTGTGCCACAGCGTGTGTCCAACCTGGCTCTGCCCGACCCTTCGGCTCTGGAGGGGGGAGGAGGGGCGCAGGCAACGAGGGCGTGCCGAGCAGACGGCGGCAGCGTTGCAGACGGCAGCGACAGCAACGCCGACCGCAGGGGGCCCCTGCCCAGCCCAGCCCGGTCCAATCCATACCGGTCCCACATGGACCAGGAGGAAAGGCGGGAGGGATGGACAGGATGGGGGAAGGCAAGGTTCATGACGGCCAAAACGAGGAGCGGTGCGGCCATTTCTTCAATTCGCGGGGCGTTCCACCCAGAGGAGGGGGTCGGCTGTGACGCCCTTGCCGTTTCCCGATGCCGCCAAAGGGCGTTACATCCTTTGGGGTGGTCTGCCTGTACTGGCAGAGGTGACAAAATGCTGCCCATGTTCCCAGCATGGGTTACACCATGGACGGTGCGCAGGGGGGGCGCTCATCATGGATGTTCCTCCCCCTGCGCACGCGGGGAAAAGCAGGGAGGGGGGGACGGGGGGGGTTAGGGAGGGCAAGCCAAAGGATGGGTTGGCATCCCCCGTACTCCTCCTAGACCGGCCGCCGCGGCGCAGTGATCTTCGACACCTGGGCGTTCCCTGGGGCTCGACGGATCCAGGCGAGCTCGTCAGCGGGCGGAACGCCAGAGGACCCCCTGAGCGCAGCCTTCCCTCCAGCATTGCTGGCATCCCCAAGCAGCCCACCTCGGGCGGCGGCGTGGCCGAACACAGCAACGGCCGAGACGACACCGACGAAGACCGCCAACCGCACCGACGACATTAAACCGACAGCAGCAACGACGACGACGACGACGACGACGACGACGACGACGACGACGACAGCGGTGCCGGACTCTGGCCTGGCGAGGGTCACGAGGAGTAATTACGGAGCCTCGGCCCGGCCCGTCCCAGCCCAGCTCAATTTGACACGGACCGAGAGGGAGAGAGGGAGGAAGGGGGAGGGAGAGAGGAGGAGGTGGGATTTTTCGTGTCGGCGGCTCCAGACGAGATATAGAGCGAGCCAGACCCCTGGGAGAGGCACCAGCCAGCGGTCGTACTTTCTCGCTGTCCTGCTGGCCAGCGCTCGTCGACCCGGCTGCCGGGGGAACGCGCTGGGGGAACTTTCAGCCACGCGCAAAGGGGGGTGGGGGGAGGGAGGAGGGCTTCTTAGAAGCACCCCGTGCTTCTTAGAAGGCGCGGGCCTTATGTATAGATGTAAGGCCGGCGCCTTCTAAGAAGCAGCCTGCTTCTAAGAAGCCCTCCCGCCTCCCCCCACCCCCTTGTGCGCGCCGCCAAAACTTGGGGAAAGAGCGCCGCCGCTCCCGTGGCCGCGGCGCACCCGCACGCGAGACGGCCAGGGACGGCGGCCAGTGGGGCCGCCGCATGGCGAGGCCCCCAGCACCGGGGGCCTGGCAAGGGCATCCCGAGCGCTGGGGCCAGGCCAGAGCCAGGCCGCATGGGGTGGGGCCCGCGGCGCCGGCCGCAGCCTGCTGGGCGCGCCAGTCCTCCGGACACTGGGGGCAGTGTGCCTTCGTCGCGCGCTTCTGAGCAGCACGGCTGGGGCTCCATTGGCGAGGGAGCTTGCAGCTGCTGCTGCTGCTGCTGCTGCTGCTGCTGCTGCTGCTGCTGCTGCTATTGCTCCGGCTGGGAGATCGTGGCCCCAGTGTCGGGGAACTCCAGGGATTACTGCGCACGGTGCTTCTTCCACGGCGCCTCAGCCGTTTCCTCGCAGGCTGCCAGGGCCGCAGCTGGGGGCCCTGCAGCTTGGGCGCACAAGTGCCACTAGTGCCACTGCTGCCAGCACCCGCTGCAGTAGATATTGTGGCCGTCCTGGCCAGGGGCAAGGGCAACGCCCGTGGCCCCGCAACCGTGGCAGACTTCGCTCACAGAGGGAGGATGGCGGAGGGCGGAGGAAGAGGAAATGGAGGGAGGGGGAAGAGGAAGAAAAGGGAGGAGGAAGAGAGGAGGTGGAGGGAGGAGGAGGAGGAGGAAGAGGAAGAGGAGGCGGGACGCTCGTTCGCACCCCGCCGAGTTGCTGGTCGCGCCCCACATCGCCCTCGGCTGCGGCGTCCTGGTGAAGGCGCGCGGGCGCCGCAGCGCGGCGCTTAGCGGCTCCAGAGTGCTCGGTGAATCGAACTGTGCTTTTTTCGGGGGCGGCCGAGGGGGGGGGGGATGACTCGGGGGGAGGGGATATCGTCGCTGGGGCCATGCCGTGTCCCCGAATTTCATGGCCCGCTCTTTCTTGTTCCACTCAGCCCCTGGCCCCCCATCGCCTCGGGCCGTGCTGCGCCCGCCCCTCTCGAGCGAGGGGCCGCCCTGGCTGCCCCGCCGGGCCGCGGGGCTCCCGCGCGCCGGCGTGACGAAGCCCGGCGCGGGCGCCGACCTCTTTCACGGACGACGCGCGGGGGGATCCGCTCGAGAGGGGGATGCATCGACCCCCAAGCGCCCACTATAGAACGATTCTCGCCCACCGGCACCGGCACCGGCACCGGCACAGGCACCGGCACCGGCACCGGCACCGGCACCGGCACCGGCACGGGCACGGGCACCAGCACCGGCACCAGCGCCTGCGCCGGCGGCATTGGCACCGGCACCGGCACGGGCACCAGCGCCGGCGCCGTCGCCGGCGCCAGCACCGGCATTGGCACCCGCACCCGCAACCGCACCGGCACCAGCCCTGGCACCGGCACCGGCACCGGCACCGGCGCCGGCGCCAGCACTGGCACCGGATGAAAAACATCATTGACATTGAACATCATGACATTTCCCAAACAGTGCTTGCACTTAGGGGGCCTTCTCTCTTCTTTCCTAGTATTAGCTGGGTCGTCTGAGGGGCGGTCTGGCGGCTCTCTCCTCCTCGCCGTTGCCGCCCTGTCGCCGCCCGTCGTCGTCTGGGCTTGAGGGGCGGTCTAGTTTTTCCGTCCTTGCCGTCGCCCCCCCTTGCTGCGTCGTCGCCGCCCGTCGTCTTGGCCTGAGGGTCGGTCTGGCGGTTCCTTGCTCGTCGCCGTCACCGTCCCGTCACCGCCTCCTCGTCGCTGCCCTGTGCGCCCCCCAGCGGTTGCAATCCAATCGGTTGCAAGCCAATCAAGTGCAAACCCAGTGGAATCGATTGCAGTCCAATCAATGGTAAAATTATGCAAACGCAGTTCCCCACATAAATTTTTTTAACAGTTTCGTGGGACCCATGGGGTACGACAACATCAACACGAAGGAGAAGCTCATCGAACGAGTAAGTACGCACGAAAGGGCAGACGAAAGAAAGGAGGAGGGAGGACAGGTGCTCAGGAAACGAAGCCTTGTAAATAGTACGGGTTGTTGATACCCTCTTCGCTCTGGCGGGGACCCGCTGGAAGGGGGGAAGCTTACGAAACCTGGTAAAGAGTAGTGCTGTCCGCGACCCTCCTCGTTCAAGCGAGTCCTCCTCCTCCTCCTCCTCGTCGTCCTGCTCCGCTATTTTCCGCTATTTGCCGCGCCATGAAGGGTTTGATTCCTGAAGCGCAACACGGCGGCAGCTGCCGCCGACCGAGGCGCCTCCGCGCCCGAGCCTAGCCGCGCACACGGCCGACGCGCGGGCGCCTTCGGCGCCGGGGGGGGGGGAGGGGGCCCCGCCCAGGGGAGAGGAAGGGACCTCCAGGATCCATCGGGGCAGAGGAAGAGCGGGGGGGCGAGGCCCTAAAGATGGGAAAGGCCAGGCACCAGAGGACCCCGCAAGGAGGGAGGAAACAGGCCGGCGGGGGCCCCAAGAAGAAGGAACGGGGTCCAATGGCCTGCGACTCGCCCTTTGGCCCGATGCGCTGCCGCCCAGGGTAGCAGCCTGACAAGCTGCGTCGCCTGTCCTGGGCGGCAGTGCACAGGCCTTGGAGTTCGGTGGGCCAGGGGCGCCTGGCGTGCCACCCCCCTTACCCCCACGAGCACAAGGCCCGAACCAGGAAACCATAAATGGAAGGAAGCGGCTGGGGGTAATGGGGGGGCACCAAATTATGTCCCTCGGGACTCCGACGACTCGGCCCCCTCAGGCGTCGTCGGCTGCGCTCTCGCCGAGCCTCGAGAGCCTCGCACTCTCAGTGCTCGTCGATCTGGTGGTACTGGACGAAGACTTCTCGTCCAGCTCGCTGGGCCACGTGGTGGCCCTCGGTCTTGTAGTACTGCATGATTATGTTGCCCTCGAGCTTGTGGTACTCGACCCAGTCATGCTGGTCGAAGTTGTTGGTTAACTCTGCTGTGCCCAACCCTGTGGCCTTCGTCCCAGTCACTAGTCGTCCAGGTATGTCTTGACCCAGTAGCAGTAGCTGTTGTCCTCGATTCGGTAGTGCTGGTCCTCGCAATACTTTGTGACTGTGATGCCAGCTTGCTGTGCTCGGGCCAATCACGCTGGTTGAAGCAGTGGCTGACTGGCTGGCCCTCGACCCTGTGGTGCTAGGCACCGTCGTGCTGGTCGAATGGTAGTACTTGGCGCGGTATGAGGAACCTTTTCCATTCAACTCCATTCAACTCGGCATCACTGGTCCAGTGGTCGTTTGGCTTGGTGGTGGTAGGCTCTTGGTACTGGGCTCGGTCGCGCTGGTCGAGTTGATCTGCTTGACTGTGTGGGGCTCGGGCTCCTGGTGCTCGACTCAGCCGCTGAGGTACTTGTCGTGCTGGTTACGGGTCGTTGGGGATCGGCTTGTTGCTGGTAGGTGGAATAGGTTGTAGGCGCACCCAGGCCTCCATGCGCCGACTTCAAGTAGGGTTCTTGGCGGCCCCACCTCGTCCCGCTATGGCTAGGGGTAACAGTGCCCTCGGTGGGGGCGAACCCCAGGCCCAGTGATTCTTCTGCTGTCGATGAGGAAGGTCTCGGCTGCCCTATGCTTCGCCCTTGGGCGCTCGGGAGCTCCATCTCCGCCATGGGAATGGCGGGGGTGGCGAGCTAGGGCGGACCGCGGGGGCGCGGGCAGTACTCGTCCTGCCCCCCCCCCCCTGCCCCTCACCATCCCCCCTGGTAGGCGCGGGCAGTGCTCGTCCTGCCCCCCCACCCTTCGAGCCCGTCTCGAAGTTTGATCCTTGCCTCACCAGGGCAGCGTTGACTCGTACTTGGTGTAGTTGGCATGTAGTCTGGCTGGTACCTCTGAGCCCTGGCTGTACGGCGGCCGTGTCCATCACTGCTGCGAAACGTGGCGACGCGTGCCTGGGGTGTTCCCTCGCATTCGGGGCTTCCCCAGGACTTGCGCCCCGACACCTCGTGCAAAACTTGGCGACGTAGCCTGAGGTATTCCCTCGCACTCGGGGCTTCCTCAGGACTTGCATCCGGGCCCTTTTGTACTTGTCGTCAGGGCACTTCGTCGCGATCCGCGTCGTCAGCCTGTGCTCGAACAGCTCCCGTCGAGTTGGTGGTCCTGCCCATTGCCTTGTCGGGTCGGTCCTGCAGGGCCCACTCCCTCGCCTCCTCCAACCAGGTCGGGGCGCTCCCTCGCCTCGCTGGGCCACGGTGGTAGTCCTGACCCATCTCCCTGGTCTTGTAGCGGTCGAGCGGCTGGAAGAAGTGGGCCACGTCGTCGTCGATGTGCCATCCGTGGACGTCGCTAGGCGACTCGCCAAAGCGCCACCTTATCTGCTTCGCCAGTGCGGTCGCGATGGCCTGGCACAAACAGTTCGGGTGCTCCTTGGCCGCCGCGGTGCGCCACTGGCCGTCGTCGTTGATGCCCGCCAGCTCCGCGTGGTAGGAGGCCGTGTGGAAGGACCTCCCGCCTCCAGGCAATCTGCTGATTTCTGCTCGGAGGGTTGGTAGGGATACCGCCAGCAGGCTTGTGGACTTCCTCGAACGCGCTCCACAGGTGCACTGGTCGAATGTGATCAGCTCGACTCCCTGCTTGTCCAGGAGGTGGCGCGTCTCGGGGAGCCTCCAGGAGCTGGCGAAGTGCTCCTCGGTGGGCTCGCGCGGGTGCTCGAGCATGCCTGGGACTCCAAGGTTGAGGCACATGTACATGAGCTCCAGCTGTGTCCTGTATAGGCGATTGCCTATCGCTACTTGCTCCATCTCTGGACGGGAAAGGTAGCGAAGGCCCCGCAAGCTGTTGCTGCTTCTTAGGGGTCTTGGTGGGCGACCCCTGCAGTCAGTGGGGGGCAGGTGGCGCGCTCGGCTCCAGGTCTCGCGCGGCGGTCAGCCGATGACTCCTGCAATCCTCCCTGCTTGTGCCATGCCTCGCCACTTGTTGACTGCGACTTCTGATGTCAGGTCGCCGAAGGTCGGGTCCTTGGCGATGTCCAGGCTGAGCATGTGTTTGTCGCATGAAGCCCGACTGCTAATACGGTCGAACCAATCCTGAACATCTCCCTCTCGGCGACGGCCGCTGAACATATGCAGCACGTATAGAGTCCGAGCTGGCCTGGGCCTGGGTACAGCAGCTGGCGGTGGCGGGGGCTCCTCGATGAAGGGGAGCTCGAGGCTCTCGTAGTGGCCACCATTGCTGTCGTCGCTGTCCTCGTCCGTGTGTATTTCTGGAGGTCGAGCAGGGACTGCAGGCTTCTCTGCCCAGTCGATGGGCCTGCCCGCCCCTCTGTTCGCCTGCTGCTGGTCGCGCACCACTTGCTGGTTGTGCTGCAGCTCGGCTTTGCTGAGGAGTGCTGGACGTGTCTTTCGCCAATGTCGAGCGCACCTGCGCACTCGCAGCAAGTGCTTGACCAGCCTGTTTGTGGTGTGGTAATCCATGCCGCATCCGTAGCAGACCGAACCAGTTGCCCACGAGATAGGATGCCCCGACGAGGTGTGGTCCTTGGTGATGTGGGCTCGTAGCACTGCTGCGCTGACGTCCGCAGTGGTAGCATAGGTACTTGCGCTGCTGCTCGAAGTGCTGGTCTGGGAAGGGCGAGATGGCTTCCGTGTTGGTCCACCGCTGGAGTCGTAGCCGCCATCGAGCGTGGTGGTCGTGATCGTACTGGCGGGCTTTGCCACGTTGGCAAGCTTTCTTGACTGCGCTGAGGTAGCTTTTGTAGTCGTTCCTGGCCCAGTCCTTCCAGTCTTCGAGCGTGTATGCTCCACCACGCTCGTCAGGTCCTGTGTGGTCGCGGACCCAGTCTAAGTCGCGGCGGAGCAGTGCCACCCAGCCGTAACTACCATCCC